TTGCCATTGCGTTTTCAAAAGTCCGAAAAGACACGTTTATCGATGTCCTGTTGCCTTGAAACATCCAGAACAGGACGTCTCTCATCTCAGCTTGAATCGCAACACTTCTAGTAGCAGTTTCGGAAGCGCGCTCAGCCACAGAAAGACCAAGAGATCCCAGTGTTGAGTGCAGTGCAATGGTGTCTTCGCCAGCTCGCTCTCCTGGGAATTTCTTGAGTCTTGCCGTAAGGCCAAGTCTATTGAGAACAACATCGTACTGATCTTGACCTGTCTCTTGAACAGAATGGGATTGGAAGCTGTGCTGGAATCTGACGTGGGTGAACGGTATGCGAATATTGAACTCGAGTGAGCTGCCTTTCCCCTCCAGTCGATTTCGGTTTTGAAGAATCTTAGTCATGACACTGAGTTGGAAGTCATCTAATAGATCCTCGGGTCGCCTGGGCTGAAGCAGCTCAATCAATTCTGCAACACAGGTAACGAATTCAGGTGTACAATACGCCCGTATACCTGGCTGGGCACTGATCAGTATACTGGTGTGCGTGAAACTCTCATCGAAACGCTTGGCTGCCACATCATCAAATACAACGTCATTCATGCTCTTTTGCTGTTGGATAGCAGGTATTGCAGGGAATGGGGGCACCTCGGAAAGATCTGGCGTTAGTTGCTCAAAAGCAAAGCAAGGCGCAGCCAAACTGCTAGAGAATGCAATAGATGAGGGGACCCAACCCTGTTCCTGGTTGTCACCAGTTTCAGGCAGCACATGGGAGTGACGTTTGTAGTTTGAGTGTTTTGATGAAGCTTCAAGCAGAGCCCTGCTTTTGTTAGAGCCTATGGTCCTATCACCTGGTTTGCGGCGAAGGGTCGATCGAATGCTGTCGGCAAAGGATGAAGCTGACGAGGATTGCTTGCTCTTTTGACGTAATCTTCGCCCTGTAGTAGACGAACGAACTGAAGAAAGGTTGGAAGATGTAAATGAACCATCTTGGCCACTCGGCGGCCCATAGAGAAAGATGGGACGAGGCACATCGGGGTACTGCATAGCAGGTGGACGCAGATTATTTCTCGTGCCATCCTCTTGACGAAAAGAGCTCTGGTCACCTGAGAGAATGAAGCTAGTGCGCTGAGTCCTTTGGTCGTGCATTCTTAGATGAGCCTGCTGGCGTGCGCGTTCCTCTGAGAAGTCCAGCTTTCTTGTTAACAAGTCAAGAGAGATCGTGGTCTGGAGGTAAGCCTGAGGTACAATATCGTCCCCTTCCCTGGACCGCACTCGGTGGTGCGATGCAGCCTCTGATGGAACAGCAATGACGGTCAGGTCAGGCACAAGAACGTGGAGGCGCTCAGAGAAAGTAGCTCCAGCAAGGTCGTTGAAATTCAAAGACACGGGTCTTGTCTTCAGCACAAGAGCCTCTTTTGATATATGTATGCAGATGCCGATATCATGTGTCTTGAGGCGGAGGAAGGTAGTGTCGTGGATGATAGGTATTTCTGTGAGAGGCAAAGTATTCTCATCATCGTCGAGCGTGAAGGCAAACGAACGTGCTGCTCCTGCTGCTGCCTCGAGAAACTCCGATGTGCAGTCTCCGGTAATCCTACCAACATCAAAGTCCCAGCTGCAAAGGTAGGTTGGCTCAAGTGGTGGCAATCCGAATAGGCGGTGTCCATATATGACTGTGGAGTCGACGAACAGTTCAGTCCGGCCACTCGAAAACTCTTTTGGTACATCAGCGTCTGCCAGCAAGCCCCCAAGAGAAATACTAATTGGACTGAAATTCACCATCAAATCCATGTAGTAGTTTGTGAACCTTAGATCAGCGGAAGCATATGGGAGATCCGCTCGGATGCCACGCTCAGCGGAGTACAGATTGGCGGGTAATAGCACACAAACGTCGTCTGCAGAAACACAAAGGATTACATCCAGGTCGTTTGAAATGCTGGACGCATCACCATTCGGCGATGCCCCTTCTGCTGTGATGTTGGCGGCCGGGAGCCCCTGGAACTCTTCCAGAGTCTTGAAGTGCATGTCGTCGCCAAAATAGTTGTCCTTGATCTTCATGAAATGGTGTATGAGCCAGCCGTAAAGTTCAAGGTTAAGCTTATGACCTTGAATGTCCATGTAGAGTCTGTCGGTGTTCATCGGAGACGTTTCAGCCATGAAGGTATGGCTACCGCTTAACGTTAGGCCGCCAAGGTGTGCTACATTTGGTGACTGCACGAATGTCTGCAGCGTGTTCTTTGGTGGCATCAAGATCTCGAGACCTAGGTTTTGGCCTTTGACGTCGAATTTGATCTCATTCTGAAGTGGTCGAAAAGTGTCGAGCGGTATGAAGACGTCGCCCTGCAGCCCCTTGCCGGACAAGATGACAAAGTTATTGTCTTCTAAATCGGCTGGATTGTTGATGATGTTGGAGTCATTCGTGTTGAGATATATCTTGAAGTTGGAAAAGTCGACATTGAGTAGATACTGGAAGGGCACAAAGAGGAAATAGTCAGGCGGCGGACCAGTTCCCCAATCAGCAACGAGATCCATGATCAGAAACATGTGGTCTCTGAGCAAGAAAAGTTCCAAGTCCTGACATTTGATGTTGAACAGCCACTTTCGAAGAGTGTTCCAGCCTAGCGGGTTGGACAAGTCGCAATCAATGGCAAGCGCACCAGAGCGCCACAAGAGGCCATGGTTCACGCTCGACGATATCTCGGTGCTTGGGACATCCACGTCTACTTTGCTCTGATATCCGTGTTCAGAGGCGTACATGTCCATAACATAGTTGACAGTAGATTTCTCAGCTATCTTGACGTCGATCCATGCAAAGGGGCGAACGTTCTGCGACCCAGTGGCATCTCTACGCTTTCCCCGCCTGATTCGAGACTTTGCTTTACTCTTGTTCTCACCCAGCTTATCATGTGCCGCCAAGGTGTGGGCCTTGCCTTTCCATTTCCAGTCTTTTGAAGATTCACGAATTGGAATACGCAGTGTAGTATCTTCTTCGATGCTGAGATAGAGCTTGAAAACAGAGAGCACACGGAGGTCTCCGGGCTTCAGGGGAGTTGAAGGAACAGCGTCTACGCGTGAAGCAGGGAAGAAGATGGACTGGAAGACACCACGATGTCGGTCTGCCCATGGACCATATTGGATTATGCCACCAAACACCTGTATGTCCATACCATAATCTGGCGGAGCACAACCGTTCATGTCATATGGGCGTGCGGGGTCCACGTACTTACTCTGGTCCATATCATTCGGCACAGGGCCTGGTACATCCCAGTAGAAGGAGATATTGACACACGGACAGTCGGCGATCAAGGATGTCTTTGCATACTCGATGCCATCCCACTCGCCGTGACCATCGTTGGTGGTATCGTCAAGATAACGCGCCAGCCCTTTCCAGCGCTCGCGCCCGGGAAACGTCCATTGGGCATTCAGAGGAGGGTTGCGGTTCCCGGAATTATTTTTGGTGTGAGTGTGGATTGAATCGTTATCTTTTGAAAAGAAACGAAAGGGGCTTGGGATCCTCGTCAACCAGCGCCAATGCATCCGATGCCTGGCTTCCTTTTCAATAATGCTACCTGCTGAGGATCCTTCAGCAACTTCTTGCTTGAACTGTACGGCGGAATCAAGCTGTCCAATCTTGTAGTCGGGGTTAGGCTTCATGTGGACCACGGGATGAGTGATTTGGAAATTGAACAGCTGCTGATACACATCCAGGGGTCCGCTGGTCGATGCATCCAGAGTGCCGGTTGCTTTTTCAAACTGCGCAGTGATAACAGCTAGCGTATGTTCATTCCCGACAACGATGGCACCTTTGACAATATCAACATGGACGGGGAGCAGTCTGAGGAAAGCGGGAAGGTCGGCCTTGGTGGGGCCAGATACAGTGGAGCGGCTTGTATCCTGGCGTGGAACTTTCTTTTCGGCTTGGGTATGTGATTTTTTCAGCTTGTTATGGTGGTGGTGTTCTTTCTTCTCTGGCAGTTCCGATCCGGAAACGGAACCTTCGGGGGTCTTTTGCTGTGCGGCATCGCTCTCGGCCTTCCTTTGTACGGCTTCGATGATACCGTCGTAGGCAGGGCTGCGGTTGTACAAAAAAGCCTCGATTCCCGAAACTTTGATTGAGAAACGACATGGCAGCTCCTTCCGCGTCTGCTTGCCTCCTTTTTCTGCCTTGTCCACGTTGCCACTGGTACTGCCGGATCTGGTACGGGAGGTGCTCGAAGAGTGACTGGCGCTGTCACTACCAGGTGCAGAGCCGTCGTCGGTATAGACACCGGCATCTTTGACGCGACGCAGCCAATAGTTCCAGGTGATGTACCCGCCATGCACCAAGATTGTCTCATTATGACCATGATATCGTATGTCTTTGAAGAAGAGGCGGCCGCCAAGCAACGAGACTTGGAGGGCGGTAATGTCAATGTAGGCATTGAAGGCGCGCCATGTGTATGCGCGTATGGCGTATGCGACGAGAGTCGCGAACAGGCGGTTGAAGTAGAAGAGGAAGAAAATGGTCAGGATGCCGCATATGAGCAGTTCAACGAGGAAGATCCTGCCAGCGTTAACTTGGGTTTCCGAGCATGCCCGCACAGAGGGCTCACCAGTTGAAGCCGTCGTGGGGATCCAAGGGCTCCGCGACGATTCCCGCCATGATTGCAGCGCGTTGTATGGCTTAGTGTGTGCGTCTTCATGGCGCCATAGGGGAGACGACGGGCAATGGGCAGCGGCAGTCAGTATGCATGGGACGAGTGCGCTGGAGCGGCGCCAGATCAACGGGGCGACATTGGCCTCTACGTGCGCAGGTTTATTTCTGTGATATGGGTATGTGTATACAATTATCGCAGCAGCGAACAGTGTGTATCAAGTAGCGTCGGGGATAGCGCTACCTCGGGACCCAAAGACTGGAGGCGTCGATGCGCGTCATGGGCGACGTGCAGGGGGGTAAGAACAAGCTTGGGCCTCTCTGTTCCTCCGCAAACCTATTACCACAGCACCGCGGAGGCGAGACGTGCACAAGACCAACAACGCCTAGGCTGCGACCTGTACTGCACGCCATGGCAGTCCTCAGCCGCTAGCACCACCTTTCTTCTTCCTCGTCTTCTTTTCTTGAACTTCTCTCCGTCTCTTTTTATTGTTCTCTGTGGTAGCTCTCACGACTGCCAACAAACAATCCCCACGCCTCGTTACCATGGACGCAGGCAGCCTCCACCAGGGCCTTGAGGCCGATGGCTTCTCCTCTGGCGGTACTGGGGCTCGTTTTGCACATGCAGTCATCATAGTAGCCGGTGTCTGCGCCCTCGTCGCAAGTCTGGTCACTGTCGTGTAGGTTGCAGTGCAGTTCCTCCATAGTTGACTCCCACTGACGTAGCTATAGTGCTGTCTGGTTACAGACGTGAGTAGGCCCCCTCCAGTTCCGGGAAGGCTATACTAACCCACATGTAGGAAGAACTACAGGAAGCCAGTGCTACAAAGATATGTCGTCCGTATACTGCTCATGTAGGCTTCACCACGCGTCTGCCTTGTCCTTATGCTGAACGTCCACAGGGTCCCAATCTACTCGGGCGCATCATGGGCCAGCTTGGTCTCAACCACGGCAGCAGCCTACGTAGAGCCCTTCAGAGACGTTTACGAGGTACCGAGATCACTATCGCCCTGATTCGCACACACTGACCAATTCAGGCCTTCACTATCTATACTTTCCTCCAACTGCTGATCAACTTCATTGGCGGCGAGCGAGCTCTTATTATCCTCATGACCGGCCGAGCCCCCGTCTCCCACCTATGGCCGTTGAACCTATTCTGTCCCAAGATTGACATCTCCGACCCGCACACGTTCCTTGCTATCAAACGGGGTATCCTTCAATACACATGGGTCAAGCCGCTGCTCTCGGTGGCCACCATTATTATGAAAGCCACGGGCACATACCAGGAAGGTTATATTGGCTTAACTTCGGGCTACTTCTGGAGTGGCATGATCTACAATGTCAGCATTACAATCAGTCTGTATGCGCTCGCCATGTTCTGGGTCTGCATGTCCACGGACCTCAAGCCCTTCCGTCCCATGCCCAAATTCCTGTGCATCAAGGGCATCATTTTTGCTTCCTACTGGCAGGGCTTTTTTCTTTCCATCCTCGTGTTTCTTGGTGCTATCCCGGATGACGTTGCCGGCTACACTCCTGACAATCTAGCTGCTGCCATCCAGGATGCTCTCATATGCTTCGAAATGCCTCTCTTTGCAGTGGCTCACTGGTATGCCTTCTCCTGGCACGACTATGCCGACTCAACCATCTCGGCCGCAAGGCTGCCCGTCAAGTATGCACTGCGTGATGCGTTTGGTCCTCTCGATCTCATACAGGACACCAAGGAAACTTTTGCGGGCAAGCATTACGAGTACCGGTACTTTGATGCGCGTGACAATGTACTTGCACACGAGGAATCTTCATCAAGAGCAGCGCGAATGGCAGAAGGAATGCGCTTTGAAAGAGGAGGCAAGGGCAAGTACTGGATTCCAAAGCCTGGACAAGGCTCAGAGCATGAGCCTTTGCTTAGCAAAGTCACGTCAAGTCGCGCTCGAGCAATGAGCCCTGGACCACACAAAGCTCTCAATGGCGAGGGTGCCAAGTACGGAACACTCGACGTTATTGAAGAGCCCGAACTAGACGCCGATGAAGAACGACTGTATGGAAATGCACGTGAGCTGGAGTTTGGAGATTGGAATGTAAGTGGGCAAAATGACAAAAGTTGCACATTTGGCTGACTTGCACGCAGTACCCCGTCATTGAAGCGCATCGACCTTCACGCGAAGACCGCTTGTACGCGGATCCCAACATACTGACTGCATCCACCAACCGCAATCTACTACAACCGACCAAGGACCACAAACGAAGGCGGAAAAGCCAGATTAAGGAGATCCAATCGTCTGTGGACAAGGGCAAGCAGCGTCGGGGGTCGAGTGCAGCAGGGTCTTCACGGTCAAAGTCGCCACATTCCAAATCACACGCGCCCTTTAGCCACCTTTTGCGTCAAAAGTCATCATCGTCGAGCTCTGGCAAATCGGACCGGACGCAGCTTGTGGACTTGGTCGTTGAAGATCGCCAAGCTGAGGAGGTGGAGCGGGTGCGGGCACGCAAGGAAGGAGGCCCAGGATGGAACGAAGTTCCGGCAAAGCATTTTGTGTAGGTCTAGGCTTGAGGCAGACGTGGTGCAAATGACTAACTTTTGTTGCAGCCACACGTATCCCAAGGAAGGTGAGACGGAAGAGGTGCGAGAAGGCTTCAACCCTGATGAGGCGGAGGCACACAATCCCGAGGTGGAGCACAACCTGAATCGGCCGTTTGCTGTGGAGGAGCAAAGCGAGGAGGAGCAGCGGGAGCAAGACATCAAGCCGCACGTGACGAGCGAGGCCAATCATTGGGAAACGCGCGACGTCAGTGAGCACAATGAAGATGAGGAGGACCGGCTCAGCCCGTCATATGGTAGTTTCAGAGAGGAGCGGAATGCTTGGAGCCAGAACTAAGGGCGCACGTCACTTGTTCCACACACGAGGCATATGCCGGTCGATCTTGTTTCATTCCAGGGTCGGTTTGGGCATGGGGATAGGTGTTGTCGGCTTTGGTGGGTTTTCTGTTTGCTTTATACCCGATGTTAAGTTCGGTGCGCATCATACATATGCTTTGAGCGGTGAGTTTCTGGGGTTGGGGAGTCAATGGCGTTGATGCAATACATGATTGAAGCAGCCTGGTTCATGTCTCGACACGTGCGGAGGCTTTGTGGTACAGCTGTGCATAGGTCTCGGCTGTCACCCAAGCATTGGATTCAGTCATTGCAAATGCAGCACAGGCGTTTTCCTGATTGAGACGCAGGCCCAGATGGCGAGCCGTATGTGGATGCCGAAGCAAGCATGTGGTGGAGTGGCTTGCGCCGCGTGGAGGCAGGCCCGCCAAGCCATGGTGTCTGAGATGGTGATTCGGCAGAGGGTTACTCTTGTTGAGATGTCCAGTGTTTCAACGTTTGGGGGCCTTCACCAATGGCGGCACTGTGTTTCGAGCGCATGTTGGCTGATATGGGCGATGGCAAGGTGGATTGGCCGTGGGCCGTGTGTGTGTATGTACACATGCATGCAGGACGGGAGCGAGGCTAGCGTCGAGCGGCGCATCTTTGCACATGTGGCAGGCGCACGCGGGACGAGCAAAACTATGGAGATTGCCGTCGCGACGAAGCTTTTGGGTCGCAGTCGATCCCCTCCCAACACCACTACTTATGATCGCCCGTCATCGCTACAGATCGCACTACGTGCTCAATGCCAAACACTCCCGGCCCGTTGCGCCCCGCACGTCTCAGAGATTATCAAAATAGACCGTCGGCGTGGGCCTTCTGGGCTCTCAAGCTGCGACAAAGCTGCGCGCATACTCTGACAGGCCCGAAATGAAGCAGCAGCCTCAAAGACCACGCCCAACCAACGAGGCGCATCTTCCATCAGGCCAGCCAGCCCTTGGCTGTGCCTTTTCTCGCGGTTTCGGTCCGCAAGCGCTATTGCTTCTTCACTGGTCCACACAGCGCTGCCACTTCTTCCCGCTATGCCTTGAGCGCTTAACCGTTGGTCCCTCTCGGCCAATCACATCTCACCCTCTGCCTTTTTGCTACCTTGATGCCAGCAAGCCTCCATGCGAACTAACATGTGAGATTAATGATCGCCATGCCGGGTATGCATTGCTATTGGGCCCATGTCTACACGAGAGAGCAAGGAGCAGGCCTCAATCTATAATATGAAAGCATCTGTCGTCCCGTGCCCTGCCACTGGTTTGCTGTTCTTGAGGGCCCTGGTGGACCTACAAGGCTTTGAAGCAAAGGACCACTCAAGTCCAAGGACAACGCATATTCTGTCAACGGTTCAGCCTCTTTTATGCCCCCCTGCCTCTTTCGTTCCATTGTCCTTCCCCGCTACCCTTTCTTTTTGCTTTCCCAAACCCTTCTTTCCGACATTTTTTTCCGGTCTGGTAGTGACTAGCTCCATTGCAAGCGCGTCATTCTTCCAGCATCTTATCATCATCATTATTATTTTTATTGCTGCTGATGTTTTCTGCTCAACGGTTCTCTCATTAATTCGGACAATGGGTTATTAGCTGCACTGGTTTGCAAGCATAAAAAGAGATATACATCACGGGACACGAAAATATGCACGAAAAAGAGCAGAGCTCGCCATGGCTGGCCATCAAGTTTGGATGCTGTGCGTCCAAGGAGGATGTCATTGATGAATCGAGAGATGATATAAGAGGCATTGGTGGGTTTGATCATGCTCAATAAACGCAATACGACGCTGACATTGATCAATCAGAAGAAACCGACATGCGCATCTGCTATGAGCAGCCTCGTGCTGTGCCTCAGCCCTGTGCTGAGCCAATACATGCGCGTCCATCAACAAGTCAGTCAGTCAGCCGACACGTCTCACAATGGGTATCAAACAGTCGTGAGTATGCCACACGTGCCTCGTCTCGCACCAGCATCTCCACCCTTGCACGACCTAGCCGCTCGCGAGCCCGCCCTAGTATCAGCCGGCCCACCAACTTTCGACACTTTGACGGCCTTGATGACTTCCCATCAATGCTCGACGATGCGTCCATGCCCGTCCGTCGTCGTCGGAGCTTTCGTCCTCTTGAGCTCTCCATCTACCTACCCAATGGCTGTGGTCGTCTCTCTCCGCTGCCAGACTTTGGCGACGAAGAGTACTGGTCCAACTTGCCATCACAGCTCTCCCGTCCCCAGGAAGCCCATGTCCGTGTAAGAGACTCGCGTACGAGTTCTGTCTCTTCGGAGCCTTCTTCGTCTTCCTATCTTGTCCAACGCAAACCTGTTCGTACCAACTCCGGACGCACCAGTGTGCAGAGCCAACACAGCACTGTCACACATGAGAGGAGATTGTCTGGAACTACCATGGGCACCATGGCTACGCCTACACTTGCGTTTCTGCCTGAAGATTCACCTCTTCCAGACAACCAAGTATCCGAAAGGCCCTCCATCCGTCGTTCACACACTTCCGGCACATTGTCACCAGCACGCGTCCTCTCACGCCTCCCTTCCCCATCTCGTGCTCGTGCCAACACCGCGCCCTCCCGCCCTGGCAGCATCCGGCGCACAAAAACAGACGTCGACGACGCCATCCGCGAACTCAACACCATCGTCGAAGAACGCCGCGCAAGCGCCTATCGTTCCCAAACTCAAACCCCCTCCTTGATCAACCGCCCTCCGCCCTCGCCCTCCCACCACGTTCCCTACCTCGCCCCCTCAATGCGCATGCACGTGCGCTCAGAGACACTATCTGATATCGGCTCCGCCTTCTCAGCACCCTTAAGCTCCAAGACGCTCCCCTCTACCCCGGAACCCGCCCGCCGAACCACCTTGGGTCTCAGCCTCGCAGTCCCCCCGCGCCTCCATACCGGCCCTCTAACTTCGAATCCTCCCACCCCGCCTCCAGCCGCAACACCCACCACCCCAATTGCCCGGCTAGGCGCTTGGCTCAAACGCTCTACCTCATCACTCGCCTCAAGCGCAACATCGCTGCCCGCAACTCCTAAGACGGCAGCCTCCTTCTACAAGTGCGAAGCCACTCGCCCCAATCTCCCCTCTTCCTCCTCCTACTCCTCCTCCAACCTCTCCGACCGTACCCTGCACACCCGTCAAGAATCCCAAGCCAGCACCGACACCGCTACAACCGCCACCCTCTTCTCCTCCACCCGCACCCCGACTCGTCCCGAATCCCCCGTCTCAAGCATCGCCACCACCTCTCCACCCCGCAAACTCCGCCGCGTCCCTGCGCCCTTGATCCTCGTCGACAACAAGGAGATTCAGATCGACAAGCTCGTAGTCTCACCCGCTAGTACCCGCTGCAATGTTACGCCCCCCGTCAGTCCCAATAGGGACTTACTCAAGGGCATGGAGATTGTCGCCAAGGATGTTCATCTCGGTGCGAGGTGGAGTCGACGCAGCTTTTTGAGGAGAGAGGGCGCGGTCGGTGTGGCGTTTTAGATTAGCATCTGTGCAAGGGGAGGAGGGATGGATACTAAGGCATGGAGGTTTAGATAACTCTTCCTTTTTTTTTCCTTTCTTTTTTCTTTTCAACCGGTCTTTTTTTTTCACTGGAGATGCAGGGGAAGGGGAGGACAAGGGGGGGCGGGAGTTGGAAGGATAGAAATCACCCTCCTCCTCCTCTTCCTCCTTCCCTAATGGACAGGTTTTTTTTTCACGGTTTTTTTTTTGATACCCAGGTAAGATGTGGCAATTGGGGGTTGGCATGGTGGAAACGGCTTTCTTTCTTTCTTTCTTTCTTTCTTCTTGGCCATGTGCCGAGTCTCTTTTAGATATATACCCCTCTGGTGCCTGGCTTTTTTTTTTGCCTTCCTCTTTATGCCCCCCTTTTTTTTCTCTCTCTCTTAGTCCAGAAGATTGTCTGTCTTTGGGAGGGGAATGGAAAAAGAGGCAAGGGTGGGAAGGAGATGCGGATGGGATTTGGGGGGTGGATAGGATAGTTTAATATGACTTTTTTGTCTGGATGCTTTTGGTGTGTGTTGGAAATGTGTGTGTGTGTGTGCAGTGAAGTGTCTCTATTTTCTTTTCCGTGTTGTGATGGTTTGGAGGTGTGGTTGCGGGAGCGAGATGTTTGTTGTGTTTTCGCGACTGTGGAGGCAAGATGGGAGGAGATGAAAGGAGATGAGAAATGGGGTAGGGATGTTGCCTGCGTTATTTAAACCAGTGAATTTGGCATTTAAAATCTGGCCATTAAATTGACATTCGAGAGATACGTGAGGATGGTGGATATTTCGTAGTGCAAAAAGTATCGACTTGCAAACATTTTCGTAACTAACTACTTGGAATCTCGTTTTACATGCGAACGTTATGATTATTCAATCTTTTTTTTCTCTTTTGCTCCAGACACACGTACTTAGATTAAATGAAATCTTCCAATGAAATCTTCGTCGTGCTTGCAAGTATTTGTCTACCGTCTTTAGGTAGTTAGGCAGTTTTCCTCCGATATCTTCATTTTTTTTTGAAACTAGAAATAAAAAAAACAGTCCCCCTCACACCCAATCGAATATTCAACGCACACTCACAACCACGATTCATATGTTCCACATACAGTAGAGTTTCTAGTACACCTATTCCATTTGCATAGAAAAATCATATCTGTTGCTACCCCAACTCCCAGCCTCTTGACCATCTCCAACCCTCCCGCGGTACACCTCGCAGCCGCAAACTACCTTATCGTACCCGCAAAAATCCAATAAGCCCACCAGAACGCCACAAAAGCAGCTGTGACATTCCCAGATCCCGTGCCTGTGCAGTAGCGGTCTGGGAGGAAGAGAAAAAAGTCAGCTAGTTATATCACGGAAGGTACGTTGGATGTGTTGGATGTCAGTGTCAGAGAGCGCTAGACCCAACTAGGTAGGAGCAAAAGGTAGAATAACAATAAATGCATTAGATGAAATAAAACACCGAGCCACACTTATATGCAAGAAAAAAGGGGCGAATATTTTATGCGTTTGAAGCAAGATGAGCACCTTCATGCCAAACCTCTACATATGTAAACAAACAAGTACATCAAAGGCAGAGGAGCAACATCTCAACGAACTTTAGCTCACGCAAAAAAAAGAAAGACGCACGTGCAAACCGTCCTCACCAAACACTAGATCCCGCATCTCCCAAACACCCAGACCCTTTCCCGCAACCCACGTGCCCTTATCCCAAGCACCGCCATTTGCTACAACCAGATCTCGCATGCTTCGGCCATCGCCGCATACTTACTTTAACTCAGTTCAGCACTGTTCAATCTCCCCCCGCGGACCAATCACTCTAGTCACCTTCCCAAAGCGGAAAAGAGGCATCGCGGGGGCCGCGAGCAATCGGCGCGAGCAGCCAATCAGCGCGTCGAGAAAGATACACGTTCCTGGGTAAAACGGGTAAGTTTTCTTGTGGTACTGTGTTCATGCCGACGGTTTGAGAGGCGAAAGGTGAGTTTTGTACGATGCAGTTCCTGACTCTGCTGTTGGAGGTGGGGTTGGGTTCAGGGGGAGGCAATTGGGTGCAGTTCCCGGTGAGACCGAGTTGGTGGGGGTCAGCAGCGGAGGTAGGTGCCATTGTGGTGATAGTAGACAACGACAAGGCCCGCGGCTAGCAGCCTACTGTGTAGGACCGGGGCTTTCTAGGACGCGGGTTGCTTGGTGTAGAAATTGCATGAGAGAAACGGGTAAGGAGGGACAATCGTATTTAAGGGACATGGGGGCAAGGCTTGGTCTAGAGAGAGGTTTATAGCTGGGCCTTCTCTTTGTGTCGTTCGTTCGCTCACTCGCTATCTCAACAGCACACCGGTGCTTGTTGCCTTTGCCCAGTCAACAATGGCGTCTCTGACCCGCTTGCTCGCCCTGTCGGCATCTGTCGCTACCTCTACGGCCCTTACCATTGCCGAGATCAATGGCGTGAAATTCATCTCTCCGTATAGGGATCAGACTGTATCTAATGTCTCTGGTATCATTACCGCAAAGGGCCCCGATGGTCTCTGGCTGCGTTCCACAACACCTGACCGCGACGAGCGCACATCCGAATCGATTTACGTTTTCGGTCGCACATTCGGTAGCAATCTGACTGTCGGAGATACGATTGTCGTGGGCGGCAAAGTTACCGAATTCAGATCCAACAAGGACTACATTCCTATGACACAATTGTCGACTCCAGTATTGCAAAACAAACTGAGTTCAGGGGCAAATGTACAAGCTTTGGTCATTGGGAAGGATACGCTCAGCCCACCGGACAAGCAATACAGCAGCCTGGATGGTGGTGACGTTTTTGCCGTACCGAACAATGTCAGCCAGATCAGCGTAGCGAATCCTGAACTCCAGCCCAAGAAGTTTGGCCTCGATTTCTGGGAAAGCTTGATGGGCGAGTTGGTTACCGTCAAGAACCCAACCGCTCTTACAAAGCCAAATCAGTTTGGCGACACATGGGTTGCAGGCGATTGGAAGGTTTCCGGCCGCAATAGCCGTGGTGGATTGACTATTACGGATAGAGATGCCAACCCAGAGGCCATTATCATCGGTACTCCTCTGGATGGAACCACGAACCCCAAAAATACCAAATTTGGTGATTCGGTCGAGGAGATTACTGGTGTTGTTAGCTATGCATTTGGCTTCTACCGCATCCTACCGAAAACTGCCATCAAGGTGACCAAGAGCCAGACGCCTGCTCTTCCATCTCCATCCAAACTCAAATCAAACGGAAAATGCGACGGCATTACCGTTGGCGCGTACAACGTAGAGAATCTCGCACCAAACTCGACTCACCACCCAGACCTCGCAAAACACATTGTCAATTACATGAACAGCCCCGATATCATCTTTGTTCAGGAGATCCAGGATGACAATGGCCCAATAAATGATGGTGGTAAGTCTTTTTTTTTCAGCAAAATTGCAGTCTATCAGTTGCTCTGATTCGCCTGTTGTGTTGTGTTTCACTAGCTTCCACAGATGTAACGTTGCACCCAGCCTAAGCTGAGGGCACCTGCTTTGTTGTGATACTGACCCCGTATAGTTGTGTCCGGAAACCTTACGCTGACGACGCTCAGCGCTGCGATCGTTGCTGCAGGAGGACCGAACTATTCCTTCACTGAGATAGTGCCGGTAGACGATCAGGACGGTGGTCAGCCAGGGGGTAACATTCGCACCGCGTACTTGTACAAGCCCAACGTTCTCCGTCTTTACAAGCCAAATCCGGGCAGTTCGCTAGATGCGACCGAGGTAGTTGCTGGTCCTACACTCAAATACAACCCTGGTCGCATTGAGCCCGCGAATGCTGCGTGGAACAACAGCCGAAAGCCATTGGTTGCGCAATGGGAGGTTATCGAGAAGGCGAGCGCAAAGAAGCCGAATGTATTCTTCACCGTCAACGTGCACTTTGCATCAAAAGGAGGGAGCAGCAGCATCCACGGCGACGCGCGCCCCCCAGTAAATGGCGGTGTTGGTAAGATCGTCGAAGTAGAAACGAGTGCGACAATCGCTGACACTGCAATTTAGGCGATCGTCTCGAGCAATCACGTCTAACCGCCAACTTTGTCAAGGTACGTTTTAGGATGATCTGCGGCTGTACTGTACGACAAAGCGCAAATGAGGGTGGCTGCAGCATGCTTCTCGTCTCTTTGTTCCTCGGCAGCACCAGCAACGCCACCCTTGCACAGGAAGACCTGCGCTTCCCCTGGGCAATCCGTCTATAATGTAAACTTGCAGCGAGACTAACCATGGAATAGGATATCCTTTCGCAAGATAAGAACGCTCGCATCATTACTGCAGGTGACTATAACGAGTTCGCCTTCGTGCAGCCTCTCAAGGAGTATACCAGTATTTCAGGCCTCCAGGATCTCGACGCAGTCGTCAGGATTGACCCAGTCGAACGCTACACCTATCTGTTTGATATGAATGCTCAGGAGCTGGACCACATGTTTGTATCGCCAGCACTAGCCAAGAAGGGCAGAGCTGAATTCGAACATCTCCATGTCAACACATGGCCGGATTTTGATTCGCAGATTAGCGACCATGATCCTTCGGTAGCAAGGCTGGATGTGTGCGCTTAGATGATGCATGACATAATCTAGTAGGCGGTTAAATGAATACAATAGGCAACGCTGACCCTGAGCCTGGCTGCGTTCCGTGAAACCCAAGTGCAATGAATCCGTGCATGAGAGCCTGTCGTCTATCTTTTTAGATGCATAATCTCCGTCTGTTGAGGTGGACTGTACACTATTAATATCGTGCGTTATTGCGGCGTCGTTTGTCAAGGGAAGTTGCTAATTTCTAGGCTGCTAAGACGCAAAGGCACGTTCCAGTTGCTAAAAACTTGTGCGGCGTCCCAAATGGCATTTGTGCATTACTATTGGTAGGCGCCTCTTACATGCATCCAACTGCGCCATATCAGTGCATCGACACGACAACGTATCATGTCAGCAAGAATTGTGGAGGGGTGGATTGGTGGGGAGCAGGCGAGAGACTCAGCGGAGGTTTGTTGATAAACTTGGAAATCTGTTGATGGCCACGCGACAAGCACATGGCTTATTGTGACGTTTCGACTTGCAGGGCTGCCCAGTGGTCCGCAAACCCAGCTCTTGGTTACATACCATACCGCAAGTTGGCTACGTGCGGACGGCTCAACACCTGTCGCCCGCTCCGATACCGTGGCCCGGGTTTAGAGTGTGTGTCCAACATGGATCATGGCGCTCAGCTGCACAGTCGCGAGGAGGAGTAGCTTCCATTCTCCCGCCGACAAAGTGGGCAGCCGACACCCCTGTCGAATTGCATGGAGGCAGTGTTCCATTTACCCGACGCAGCTATCTGACTTTCGTCAGCCAGATCCCAGTAACCGCAGGCGGAATGGATTTCAACGACAACAAATGATGGCTTGGGGGCGGGGACAGTCATGCCAAGTCCACGGTCCTAGTTAGCGCTGCCAAGCTTCCCCACGTCCCCAGATCCGACGTCAATGCCCGCTAGATAAGGGCTTTGCATCGACTGTCACACAGTGCCGTGAGCAAATGCCGTCTGTCGCAGAAGCTCAAGAGATGGCGCGGCTGCTACGGCGGAACGAAAGCTAAAAAAAAGCTTCGCCCTTACCGGCTGAAAAACGTTGTCCTGCAGGCCTTCCCGTATCCGTGGTTCCATGTCGAGGGCGCTGTTGCCAAGGTCTTGGGAGGCACATTCACGCGGCCAAATGGACACATGGATAGTGCCGAGAGACTCCAAGTAGCGCCACACCTGGGCGTTCTGGAACGCAGATAATGCCTAATTCATCGCCTTGGCCCGAAAGACGGAGTGGGCTCTAGCGGACAAATTGTTTTTCAAAGGCCCGTATACCGACAGGTCCGCGCTCCTCGACGAACGCAATAGAAGCCCGAGACTGAAACTTAATCTGAGGCTTGAGGCTTCGTCGGTATGTACCAGACACTAGACACGTTGTAATCCGTTTAGCATAGTGGACTAACATGTCGGAGCCATCCGTTGGTGGGTATCGGTGCGACAGATTTGATATCTGTTCAGACATGGTGGTGGTACTGCAGCCGCTACGGTGCTCTAGCGCCAAGTCAACGTGCGCTGCGATCATCATTCCTTCGTGGGCGTCCGCCACAATAGGACGCAGGAATTGATGGGGCCAGCTAAACGCGCCGTCTTGACCCATTCAACCGCCCCATGGGGTTTCGGGGGCCACTAGCCGACCCGGTCATGTCAATCCTAGCAGAGGCCTATCTCGTTTCGAGGCAACACACACACGGCGTGTGCGAGCCCGGGTACATATAGACCCTTGACTGCCTCTTTTGCCTGCGTCCCCCAGTCTCTCGTACTCCCTTCCATCTGCGACAAAAGCAACATGGCAGCTGCTCCAGACCTCAAAGCCCTCGAGGCTAACGAGAAGGGCGAAGACATCTACACCAATGATGTCAACAGCTCTCAGGCTAGCACTCCGGGCGACCTCGATGAATACCCAGATCCAGACGTAGGCAAGAGCGATGAAGAGCGTGCCAAACTCGTAAGTATAGCCTCTTAACCTGCCTGTGGGCAAGGCTAACCCGTATCCTAGGACAAAGCACTTGTTTGGAAGATGGACAAGTGGCTCATCCCATGGCTGTCGCTCCTGTACCTGCTCTCCTTCTTGGACCGCACCAACATTGGAAACGCTCGTGCCGCCAATATCGAGCGGGACCTTAAAATGGGAGGTCGCGACTACAACCTTGCCTTGACAATCTTCTTCATCTCTTACGCCGGCTTCGAACCGCTCACCAACATCGCCATCAAGAAATGGTCTCCTCGCGTCTTCTTTACCGTCATCATCCTCACGTGGGGTGCCATCATGACACTGATGGGTGTTGTTCACAACAGAGCCGGTCTGCTGGCTGCCCGATTCTTCCTCGGTATCGCAGAAGCCGGACTGTTTCCTGGTGTCAACTACTACCTCTCGTAAGCCGGAGCCTTTGTTGTAGACCAGACAGTAAACTAATCTCGACATAGGTGCTGGTACAAGCGTCAGGAGCTTGGTTTCCGTGCCGCTCTCTTCTTCTCAGCCGCTGCGCTTGCTGGTTCGTTCGGTGGTCTTCTCGCTGCCGCCATTACCGAAATGGATGGTGTTGCCGGTTATGAGGGATGGCGATGGATCTGTGAGTTACCCTTCTCTTCTGGATCGGAAACCTGCTAAATTGTACCACAGTCATCATCGAGGGTCTTATGACTGTATTCGTCGGTATTTTCTGCTGGTGGATGGTTTTCAACTTCCCAGACACTGCGAGTTTCCTATCTCCCGACGAAAAGTTGCGAGCTGTTCGTCGACTTAAGCTTGATGGACAAGCCCGCGCCAAGGTCGGTGGAATTGACCGCCGAGACGTCATTGCAGCCCTCAAGGACTGGAAGACATGGGGATACTCCGTCATCTACATGGGCTGTCTCTGCCCGCTCTACTGCTTCTCCCTGTTCCTGCCGACGATTCTTCTTGGCATGGGCCACAAAGGCACCAAGGCCCAGCTCTTGTCGGTCCCACCTTACGCCGTTGCTGCAGCCATGACTGTCATTATTGGTTATGTTGCAGACAAGACCAAGAAGCGTGGCTACTGCAACATGTTTGTATCGGCCATTGGATGCGTCGGTTTCGCCATGCTGCTCGGTACAACGAAGCCAAATGTCCAGTATGCTGCCACCTTCCTCGGCGCCATGGGTATCTACCCAACTGTCTCCAACACACTGACGTGGGCTTCCAACAATGTCGAGGGTTCGCTCAAGCGTGGTGTCATGGTCGGTGTCGTTGTCGGCTGGGGTAACATGAACGGTGTTGTATCTTCCAACATCTACGACCCTAAGGAGAAGCCACACTACCGTACTGGCCACGGCATTGTCCTTGGTTACATGGCCTTGTTCCTTTTCGGCGGAACTGTCTTCATGCACTTTGCCTTGGCACGTGAGAACAAGCTCAGATTGGCGGGCAAGCGCGACCACTGGGTCGAGGGCAAGTCTGAGCAGGAGATTGCTGATTTGGGCGACATGCGACCGGACTTCATCTACACCACCTAAGTCATTTTGAATGTGTGGTTATAGTTCTTTTAGCGACCTGTCCTGTATGAGCGCCTTTGACATTGTTGAACGTACATAGATACCCGCGATATTGGGTAATCTACCTGGGATCCAATTCGCTCGAATCAAGAATGATAGTATAGAAAGGGAAAGAGTGTATATAGTGGGCGATGATTGTACAGGAATCAAAAGCATTCGAACCTTGAACTATTGGTGAGCAGCTTTGGACGTGTTATGGGTGACTGTTACCCGGCCGGGAGCTTGTGAAACGTAGAGCCGGTGGCGTTAATCTCGCTCTTGATAGTGTGTCGGTGGCAAGTCCATGTGTGCTGGTTGTATGAGAGGAGATGTGGCATCTGAGGTGAGTCACGGCCGCGGATCGATACCAACAAGGCAGTGGCGTCACTCAGGCTGAATGGGAAGGAGCACCTCACAACACATGTCAGCAACAGCATGCATAGTACTACTCTATATACAACAACCCTATGTGGCCCAAGTTCCCCACTTACCCCAGAGTATCCACTTCCCTCGTATGATCTGCACCCTTAGCTTTGACCTATGTAGACCGCACCCCGGGAATGCAAACCCACCTTGATAGTGATCGTCCAGACAATTTACCGAGGTGTTCACCGCTTAGCACTGATAGTAAGCGCGAAGAAGATATTTTTCGTATTGCTATGGATCCCTGGGAATTTTAAATCCAGATTGAGGACAGGGTATACCGTACAGGAGACTAGTGCCAAAGTCAATATACACAACATGGAGTCTCTACACGCGCTTACTACAAGCGTCAGACTTCCATCAGTAAAACACCATATTGGGAAACTTTCCGCTCCAGTAAAGCAGTATCCGCTTTCCACACGACATCCACATGCACGCTTCCCAGTCCACTCTAGCCCATCAGATCACCCTCTCCGCCCTGTCCCAGCCCTCCTTTCCGCTCCTCCCTCTGCTGCTGCCACAACATCCTCCTCTGCCTCATGTCCTCCATCAACGCCCTTATGTCGTGAATGAGCTTATCAGCTAGATACGCCCAGTCACATTCCTTGTGTCTCGCATGCCTAGAAGAAGCGCATCGTGAGTATTGGTACCTGCACGTCGAGGGCTGTTGCAGCCGGTGGTATGGGGAAGTGTGGAAGTGGTGGGGTGGAAACATAGTTGGCGGAGTGACGGTGTGTTGCATGATATTTGTGGCAAAACAAGTAGTTGGTGTGTGAAGAACAATGTGTGCGTGTGTAATACTAATATCTTGTGGAGTTGGAATAATGCGGTATTTGTACGTCTGTTGATCAAGGAACGACAAACGATCCTGACACTTCAACTCCATGTGCTATGTCGCAAGTTGTTTGGTGGATGTTGCATGAGCAATCGCATTAACAGAGCATTCACAAACAAGTACATCCAGCTACGTAAAAACAATTCCTCCATCAACCACAATCGTCTGGCCCGTCATGTAATCACTGTCCTTGCTACACAGGAAACTCACCGCACTACTGACATCCTCTGGCACACTCATCCTGCCCAACGCGATCAAATCTTTTGTGTACTTTTTGATCACTTCGCCCTTCTTTACCCCAGTCACTTCGGCCAGTTTCTCGTCGATCTGTTCCCACATGGCTGTGCCGACAATGCCAGGTGCGTACGCGTTGACAGTGATTTTGTGCTGTGCCATTTCCATGGCCAAAGCCTGAGTGAGTCCGCGGACGGCAAATTTGGAGGCGCTGTAGTGGGAGAGTAATGGAAAGGGCCTGAACGCTACAACGGAGGCTGCGCCGAGGATCTTGCCTCCAGTTCCCTGTGAGATCATCTGCTTGGCGGCGGTTGAGTAGCAGTTGTATACGCCATATACTGTGGACTGTCAGAACAAAGCTGATGACAGGCCTTTTCAAGACATACCATTTACTTCGAACATGCGCTTGAAGTCCTGTTCTGTCAGGTCAAGCAGGCCTTTGACCTGACAGATTCCGGCATTTGCAACCATTGTGCTGAGCGGTCCCAACTCGGACACTGATGCTTGTACTAATGACTGAACCTCACTCAAGTTTGATACATCGGCAGTGTATGTCATGGACTTGCGGCCTATATCCCGAATCTCTTTGGCGACCTGTTCAGCCTCGGGCTTGTTGGCTGCAATGTCATTGATACAGACATCGTATCCGTCGTTTGCTAATCTTAGAGCAATGGCTTTGCCGCTATTGAGGGTGAGCTAGCTTCGATGCGTTTCACGGAGAAATTGGATAGTAGTCTCACATTCCACGTGCAGAACCTGTGACAATGGCTGTTCTTTTGCCGTTAGACGTGACAGCATAGTTCCGTGTCCGTTGAGGGGCTTGGTTTGCAACTCGTGGAAGAGGCGCAGCCCTTAGCGAGGCACGCCAGAGCATTCCTACTGGGAGCCGAATGGACATGATGAGTATCTGGTATTGGGAGAAACGTGGATGGATCAGTACTAAAAAGACGGAACGAGTGCAAGATCAATTGAAAAGCAGATGAGATGTTAGGGCAGTAGATCAAGTCTTATTTAATGTACGTCGTGTACTACTGTTCTCCGCACGCACAACACGGGAATGCCCATGTGAATTACCCGGATATGCGGAGCATGGGCGGCGCAGGCATCACCCATCTTGTACGTAGTGTCCTAAGACCTGCGTGAGGGGAAACGAGTATTTCTCATCCGGAATGACGCGTAATAAAATCCCGCAGGAAGATCACGGATTCAGTAGCATGTCTGGATATCCTGGTTAGGGCGCTGAAGCTAGCGGCATGGTGTTGAGGGAAGGCAGAGGTGCGGGGAACTTCGGGGGTGCCAAGCCGTCAAGCTCCCACTCAGTCTTCTTTGTTGTTGAGAGCGAGTGGTAGCAATAACAACAGCATACTACGACGGATAGTGCCCAAGACACAACTACACCATGTCGCGCCAAAGCATGGCACCGCAGCGCAACCTGTCTCTCACAGAAGAATTGGAAAAGTTGGAGCAGTCCATCACCCTAACGCTGCAAGGTAAACAAAGCCTCGTGTACCCCACCAACGCGACTGACGGGAGCAGAAATCGACCAGAACTTCAGCCGCGCACACCGCATCGTCACCACAGGTATTTTGCCTATAGTCGAGCAGTATGGAAAACACTCGGAAGCCGTGTGGGAAGGTTCCAAATTCTGGAAGCAGTTCTTCGAGGCCAGCGCCAACGTTTCGCTTTCTGGATACGAAGCGCCGGACCAGGACGAGTCCGTTGTGCATGACGAGGAGACAGAGCAATCTCAAACCTATGAGGAAGAGACTGTTGAGGAGGAGGAAGACGAGACCATGACAGGGGCGACAACCACACCACCACGCTCAAGATCTGCCCAAGAAGAGGAGCCTGAATCGACTATCGGTTTCGACTCGCCCTCGCTCGGCCACAGCACTCCACGTGCGCCCCAATCGAACAAGAAAACTATGCAGATGGAAGGAGACATAAGCGATGGCGAGGAAGAGCCGCAATTTGCTGCCATGTCCTCGCCCTACGAGGCGCTCAGGGCAGAGTTCCAGCCCAACCTGGGCGACACCAAGACGCCCAAGTTGGAGCCAGTCACTCCCGGCAAGGGCCAAGCGCTGCCAGATATGAGCGGCTTCGACTCTTCGCCCTTTATGCAGCCAACGGCTACGAAACAACAATCATACACCAGCCAGGATCCGTTGCTGCACCGCGTTCTCGACAAGACATACCGTGTGCAGGCAACGCCCATTATCAGCCCACGAAAATACAAGCCTACTGGCGCATTTACGCCTCGTGCTGCGCAGCGTGGTGCGCCCACACCTCGGAGTGTTATCTCGAAGCTGCCAGCTTGGACCGAGGACTCTTCGCCACCCTCGTCTCCTGCCCCGCAACTGCGCGCGGACATTTTCTCGCCTATGAAGACACCACGGACACCGGGTGTGAGCGTACAAACACCTGCAAAGGGCAAACCTCCGATGAGCATCCAGCGGACGGGCGGGACAATCTTTGACGACAGCGACGAGGAGGAAGATGAGATTGAAATCTTTAGCCCTCCAAAGACAATTCAGTTCCATATCCCGCATAGCAAGCTTTTGCAAACACCTGGTAAGTCTCGGCACATGATTACTTCTGACACATAACTGACAAATTTCACAGCCCGAGAGGCCAGTAAACGCATTGTAGACGACCTCTTGATGACGGCTGGAGGAGACATAACAGAAACAACTGAAGGCATGGACGAGGATAGCCCGAGTGTGGTGCGAAGGCAGGTAGATTTCGACGACAGTTTCTAGAAGAGGAGTAAATATGACAAGCCACCAAATCCAGCTGCATGTTGCGCATAGAGAGCATTATACCCCGCAGTACTTACATAGTCGGTCCATCAAACTACCACTCCTGTACTAGAACAGAGTCCCGACCATGGGCCCCAGGTGTCTTGCATGTGATGATCCACAGTGTAGGGCAAGCTAGCACGAAGCGGGGGTTAGCGGCGGCAACCCCATGCAGTAGCTCCGTCGTCATTCCATCACAATTGCCAGGCACCGGCTAAGCACACAAGAACACGACCGACGCCCGGTTCCTTTGCTCACCAAGTCCCCGCAATGCCAAAGTCGAAGCGGCCGCCAACATCGGGCTATGCCCGGATAGCTCAAGCTGAAGAAGAGGAAGACTCTGGGAGCGACTTTGAGGGTGACCACCACCAAAGCTCCCTGTCCAACACGCACTTTGCCCCTATACAGCCACATCGCAGTTCGGGCATGCGCATGAACGGCTCAGGGCCAAGCTCACCAAATCTCAAGAAAACGCCCTCTGGACGAAGGCAGCGCGCCAATTCCGGAGTCGACATCAAGGCAATCAACGCCAGATTCGAGCGATGGGCCGACGAAATCGCGCAAAAGTTCAAGATCAAAAAGGGGAGCGACTCGGCAGAAGATGAACCCCTCGAGATACACCACTCCGTTTTTCAGGCCCCAGACTGGGTACGACCAGCAACGGCTGAGTCCCTGACGTTCGACTACGACGTACCATCCGACCGTATGACCAAGCTCGAATTCGATGATATTGTGGAAAGCGTCAGGACGGCAATTGACATGAATATGCATCCAAAGCTCATTACGCAGGGCAGTTCAGGCAGCTACTTTGCGCGAAATCCCCAGGGGAAAGTGGTGGGTGTTTTCAAACCAAAGGATGAGGAGCCCTACGCGTCACGGAATCCGAAATGGACAAAGTG